TGTGATTTAACTGTCGACTGTCAGCTTTAATTTGAGGGTATTTACATCCAAATCAGGTGAACGGTGTAGGAATTACAACAGTTTGCATATGTGCCTCCCGCTTGTTAAGGAACCAAAAGTAATGGGACAATTGGTTTCTCAGCTGTTCCATGGCCAGTTGTGTTTTATTCCCTCATTATTCCAATTACAATGAGCAGATAAAAGGTCCAGAGTTCATTTCAAGTGTGCTATTTGCATTTGGACTCTCAAGATGAGATCCAAAGAGCTGTCACTATCAGTGAAGCAAGCCATCATTAGGCTGAAAAAACAAAACAAACCCATCGGAGAGATAGCAAAAACATTAGGCGTGGCCAAAACAACTGTTTGGAACATCCTTAAAAAGAAGGAACGCACCGGTGAGCTCAGCAACACCAAAAGACCCGAAAGACCACGGAAAACAACTGTGGTTGATGACCGAAAAATTCTTTCCCTGGTGAAGAAAACACCCTTCACAACAGTTGGCCAGATCAAGAACACTCTCCAGGAGGTAGGTGTATGTGTGTCAAAGTCAACAATCAAGAGAAGACTTCACCAGAATGAATACAGAGGGTTCACCACAAGATGTAAACCATTGGTGAGCCTCAAAAACAGGAAGGCCAGATTAGAGTTTGCCAAACGACATCTAAAAAAGCCTTCACAGTTCTGGAACAACATCCTATGGACAGATGAGACCGAGATCAACTTGTACCAGAGTGATGAGAAGAGTATGGAGAAGGAAAGGAACTGCTCATGATCCTAAGCATACCACCTCATCAGTGAAGCATGGTGGTGGTAGTGTCATGGCATGGGCATGTATGGCTGCCAATGGAACTGGTTCTCTTGTATTTATTGATGATGTGACTGCTGACAAAAGCAGCAGGATGAATTCTGAAGTGTTTCGGGCAATATTATCTGCTCATATTCAGCCAAATGCTTCACAACTCATTGGACGCCGCTTCACAGTGCAGATGGACAATGACCCAAAGCATACTGCAAAAGCAACCAAAGAGTTTTTTAAGGGAAAGAAGTGGAATGTTATGCAATGACCAAGTTAATCACCTGACCTGAATCCGATTGAGCATGCATTTCACTTGCTGAAGACAAAACTGAAGGGAAAATGCCCCAAGAACAATCAGGAACTGAAGACCGTTGCAGTAGAGGCCTGGCAGAGCATCACCAGGGATGAAACCCAGCGTCTGGTGATGTCTATGCGTTCCAGACTTCAGGCTGTAATTGACTTCAAAGGATTTGCAACCAAAGTATTAAAAAGTGAAAGTTTGATTTATGATTATTATTCTGTCCCATTACTTTTGGTCCCTTAACAAGTGGGAGGCACATATGCAAAGTGTTGTAATTCCTACACCATTCACCTGATTTGGATGTATATACCCTCAAATTAAAGCTGACAGTCTGCAGTTAAAGCACATCTTGTTCGTTTCATTTCAAATCCATTGTGGTGGTGTATAGAGCCAAAAATGTTAGAATTGTGTCCATGTCCCAATATTTATGGACCTGACTGTACGTGATATTTCTGTGTATGAGCTAGCATGTGGCTCACACCTCTTCTTCCTAATATAAAGTACTGGTGCTAGGCCCTCATCAATGTTGCATGAGGGTGGGGCGAGTGTCCTCGGCCCTGTATAAGCTCTAAATCAAGCGTCCCTTAATGGCTCCAGACCGAGCCACTGTTCCATTCTGACCTGCGGTTGTGCCATTTAGGAGCCGCTTCTTTCCCACAGCCTCCACCACTGTTATTATAATAGTAGAGCAGAAAGCGGGAGACAGAACATTTTAGGACTGCGTGCAGGAGCTGCCAGGGCTAACTTTTCAAGTTAACCAGCAGGTGATTGGTTCCTAGCATGCAGGGCCACTCACCTGCTGGTTAATACAAAAGTTACCCCCGGCACCCCCACGCTCCAGCACTCCATTCAGTGCTGTGTTGTGCCTCCCACACTCAGTACAGAAATGTTCTGCCTGCCACTCTTTGCTCTGTCTAAGGTAGGAAGAGAGCGAAAGGGGGGCTGAGGACACTGCTCTGAGTGTGTTGTGTGTAGGGGGAAAGATGTGAAGGGGGGCAGTGCTGTGGGTGGGGGGGGGGGTGGATGCCAAGAGGAAAGAGTACACAACCGTGTGTGTGGGGGTGAGGGGAAGCAGTGCTGTTGGGGGGGGTAAAATGTGAAGAGGGGAAGTACTGTGGTGGGGGAGGTGATGAAAAGTGGGGCAGTGCTATGGGGGGGTTGATGTGAGGAGGGCAGAGCATACTACTGTTGGGGGAGGGGGGGGGATGCGAAGGGGAAGAGGACAATATTGACGGGCGAGGGTGATGAATTGGGGACTGCTGTGAATAAGGGGGGTGTGTGATGTGAAAAGGTTTCGGTACACTATTGGGAAGGGGGCGATGTGAAGGGGGCCTGAGAACACTATGATGGGGAAACTGATGTGAAGTGGGGAACTGTGATGTGTGGGGAGGACTGAGGACACTGATGTAAGGGATTGTGACATATAAGGAGAGGGCTGAAAAAAATGCAGTTTCGGACCTCTGCTGGAAGAAAATTTTACTGGTCAGACCTGTGTGACGTTTAATTCAATACCCCTGCTCTAAATCACAACTTGGAACTCATAAAGAACTTCATACAGGTTTGCATTAATGCAGTGCAGTTTTAGGCAGTAGAATTATTTGTACTCTGTAGCAAAAGGTTGTCATTCACTATTCTTGCCTCTAGAGCCCGCCTGAGCCACTTGATGCAGTTTATACAGATTAAGTTTAAGCCTTCTGGCATTCTGTAAGTGTTTAACATACAAACAGATAAAATAAATGATAGTAAGGTTTTCTTATCTTAGATTGATCTTTGATTACATTTGAAAACTATGCTCTTACATAAAAAATAGAATTTCAGCATAATTCCAGGGAATTGGGAAACAGAACAGCAGCAATAAATCTGACCACAGTTACGTTGGTTCAAGCTTTAAACAGGCCATACACAGCTCAGATTCTGGCTGATCCGAGCCTTGGGTGGCCATGTGAACAGTACCCAGCAGCGACAGGGCAAGTTTGTTAAACTTTTTTTGTGTTAACAAATGACACAAAAAATCGCAGAAAACCCGAATTTGCCCAGGAGGGCACAACATCGAAACGTAGCTTGAAGCAATGCAGAACAGCAATATCAGGGTATCCTTATTCAATACCAGATGGTGTAATAGGGACCAAAAAAAAAAGGTTCCCACTCAGGACATAGCCTAGCAAAAATATCACATGAAACGTATAAATTAAAAATGCACAAAATACCTCTCAGCCAACGACAGAGAAGGGTTGTGAACATAGATACAAAACATTACTCTGGAGCAACTGTATCATGGGAATCCAGCCAGGAAGACCAAACTTTAGTAAATTTCTTTGCGCAGTCTCATGCTTCATAGGTTAGTTTATACATAGGTATAGCTTGGTTAACAAGAATAAGCCATAGGGTTAAGGAGGGTGAGGCTTGAGACTTTCAATGCATGAGTATCAGTTTTTTTGCGTTGAAAAAACGGTAAACCAATTTAGTATTTTCATCCCAGTAGGGAGCGTATGCCATTCTGGTTGTTTAGCACCGATGGGGAAATCTTTGGAATTCTTTCATTTAGCCCCCAGCCAGTTTTAGTAAATGCCCATTTGTTTTTTTTTTAAGCATTAACCCTTTTGTTGATAGGTCAGTACATCATATGGACCTGACAGCGGGGGGGGGGGGGGGGGGGGGGTTGGGGTTTACACACACTCCCGGTGGCTGCAGCCACTGCATTTGTGTGCAAATCTAACATGCCGACTTCTGGCTGTCAGATGAAAGCAGTCATCTGCAAAAATTAAAGTTACACCAAAACACATAAAATTCTCCCCCCTCCCAACCCCACTTATATGAACATAAATACACGCATCGGGCACCTATGCATGAAAACGTCAATTGCGATACACGTTACATATCGCCGCTCATGCCAGAATGGGAGCAATATTTCTAGCATCAGACCTCCTTAATGCTAAACTGATGACCTATAGGGGGTTTTTACCTGTAACCTATAGATATATATGGTACTGAAGTTTGTTGCCATTTTCCGGGCGAACGCAAATGTAAGGTTTGACATGTTGGGTATCCTTGGTCCAACCTCATCTTTTATATTTTACCAAAAAATTTACCTTTGCGGTAGTATAATTTTAACAAAAAAATTGGAACTACCGCTATTTTATTCTCTAGGGCAGGAGTGTCAAACTGGCGGCCCTCCAGCTGTTGCCAACTCCAAGTCCCATGAGGCATTGTAAGGCTGACAGTTACAAGCATGACTCTCAAAGGAAGGGGCATGATGGGACTTGCAGTTTCGCTGGGGGGATGCCAGTTTGACATCCCTGCTCTAAGGTGTCTGCTTTCAGAAAATATATAATGTTTTGGTGGTTTATGCAATTTTCAGGCCAAAATGTTTTATATGTGTGCTTAAATTGCAAAACGGTTAATACAGATGGCTTCTTGCAGTGATTTGTAGTTGGACAGTTCTCACAGGTTCTACACCTAGCGGAGTCTGAGCATCACCCCTTTTTTTTTTTTTTTTTTTTTTTTTAACTAATGGTAATTGGATTGCTACAGAGCAGTTCCTCTGTGAATTGATTATGCTGTTATGCTTAAAGGATAAATCACACTTGTATTTAGGGTGTAACATGTTACTATGCACCAATCCCCAGATTCTCTACAGACTCCTAAGCTGGAAAAAAATAACAAATGCCCATTTTTTTTTTTTACCCTCCAAAACATGTGCTATTCTTATTATTTTTATTTGTATTTATGTTTTGTTTAGGTGAACTTAGCTTCTAAACTGAATAATTTGCACCTCCTGCAGTATCTAAAATAAAAATAACTTTTTATTTGCATTCTGAAGACATTGGCTGTAACGATGATTTGGTCTTAGAAATAATAATTTCCATGTTGTTGTTTTTTTTTTTTCTCTATGTATTCATATTGAAAGTTCTAACATACACAGATGACACGGCAATGACAAGATCAATGGTACAGTCTTTGCTGGAAAACAAAGAATTCAATGCAAACGATCTAGCTGACAGGTATAGTAACAGTTATTCGTGGGCTGTTATGCTTATTCAGTGGATTCAGTGCTTTGAGTCACTGGCCTAAATGGTGGGAGAGGTCGGCAATGATGATATGCATATTTTTCTCGTAACGGTTTACACTCAATCCTACCCTGAGTCTACTTGTATTGGACATGGTGGAAATGAGGTGTCCCCAGCAACATAACTGCTTCCATCTTCATACTGTATTTTACTGTGGAGATCTACTTGGGGGAGAGGTGGGGGACTGCTTCTTGCAAGGTTCTGGCCAGACAAGCAAATCTAGCGGGGTACTGATCCACATCATGATCCATAAAAATAGAGAAAACCGTTTTTTTTGGGGTTACACTTTAAATTGAATCTGTCTGTATGTGAAACATGGCCAGAATTCCCCTTCCTACTGTGGGTTCTAGGCTTTGCCTACGGCCACTGAAGGAGCCCAGTGTCATTTGATTTGTGGGGCTAAAGAGAGTCAGACCTCTGGGAATGCAAGGTAATGTAATGTTATGCATTGTGATTTCCATAGGATGGGGAGTTTGGCTAGATCACTTGATTTGACTCTAAATTGAAATTTGCACTCAGCATGTACTGGACTTTGTGGTCTGATCACTGAGCAGGGAAAAACCTTTACAGATGCACCTTGTACTTTGAACATATACTAAGATTTGCTCTGTTTTCCTGTCTCAATTTATTTTAAAGCTGAGATACAATCTGTGAGGAGAAAGGGGATGTTTAGAAGACATTGAACATCTCCTGCATGTGTTTAAAGGATTTGCTCTATTAAGACAGACTCATTAAAGTACAGTGAGGCTGGAAAGGCTGAGGTGTTATAAACATAGATGGATGTTTTTGTTTTTCTGGTTAATCGGTTTTAGGATTTTTACTGTCAGTATATGTAATACTTGTCTCTACTTCTTCTTCTTTTTTTTTTTTTTTTCCTGCAGATTTACCAAGGAGTACTTCAATGATCCAAGACGTGGATATGGTGCAGGGGTCATCCACGTGTTTGAAAAGCTTTGTAGTGGAGAATACAGCAATGTCTTTACTCCAGCCAAAGAGCAGTTTAATGGGAAGGGTTCTTATGGAAATGGAGCAGCAATGAGAGCCGTGGCCATTCCTTTGGCATTTCCCAACGTGACAGATATTATAGAGGTTATTTTTTTATTATATTCAAATTTTATTTCATGAGCTCTTACTGATTTATAGCAATTCATGATAATATTTAAAAGACAGTATTTATCTTCTACATACGAGGCGTGTCCAGAATATAATGAGACTGAAGTTCCTATGCTCAAGAAGTGCTCTGTGAAGGGGGGAAGCTGGCCAAGGTCACTTGGGGTGGGGTGCCAGATATATGCTAGAACACTGATCACTTACATTCCAGCCCTGTCAGAGCTGAGACATTATATTTGGGGAACCCTGTTCAAGTGCCTCATATAAAGAAAAATGCAGGTGATTTGGAACAGTGGTACGCAATTAAAGTTTGTATGAAATTGGGTAAAAGTGCATCAGAAGCTTATGGAGAATTAACGTTATCTGCACAAGTGTACCAATGGCGCAAAGCCTTCAAAGAAGGACAAGAAGGTGTTGAAGACGAACAACGGTCAGGATGCCCTGATAAAAAAATTAAACAGAATGTGGATGCAGTGAGGTCTGTTCTCAAAGACCTGTTGGCCCATTTGGAAAGAGAGCCTGATTTTTTTTTGAGTCGAATGACCACGGGAAATGAATCATGAGTGTTTGAGTACGATCCCTAAACGAAGAAACAAAGTTCAGAATGGCACACAACCACATCACCTCACCCCAAGAAAGCTCGAATGAGCAAATCAAAAGTAAAATCAATGGTCACTGTTGAGTTTTTTTCACATGGAATTGTCCATAAAGAATTCATATCTACTGGTCAAACTGTGAATCAAAGATTTTGCCTGGAAGTTCTTGGTCGCTTGAGACCGAGTTTTTCATGTGTGTCCTGAGATCGGCTCAACTTGAATCCTTCATCACGAAAGTGCACTGAGTCCTAGTACTTTGAGAGTTTTTGGCTGTAAAACATCACGGTGCTCTGCCATCTACTCTACAGCCCCGACTTGGCTTCTTGCGACTTTTTTCATATTCAAAAGATAATGTAGGGTTTGAAAGGACACCATTTTGGTAGTGTGGATAACGTCCAAAAAGCCAGGCTCTAATTGCCATCCCACTTGAAGACTTCCAGGGATGCTATGAAGAATGGAAAAATTGCTGGGACTGTTGTATACACTCACAAGGTGCATACTTTGAAGGGGACAATGTTCCATTGTAAATTTTTCAATAAAAGAGTTTTTAAAATATTCTTATTACTTTCTGGACACACCTTGTACTACCTAAAACATAGCAGTATGCTTGAACGTTAGATTAAAAAAAAAAAAATAAAAATTTGGTGATCTATGCTTTCGCCATTCAAAAAAAAAAAAAATGAAAAAAGTGAGCTGGATTTGATGTGGGATTATAATTTAAGGGCATATTCAATAAATCAGTTGCATGGTAAAGTGCCGTAGTTCATAACTACCCTGATTTCAGTTTTCCTATGTCAGATCACTGACTTTTAATTTAACTACACTATATAATATTTGCCATATTGCTTAGGGCCAGAAGACCCCTTTGTGCTTCATTCTTAACTATGCACCACAATGTGTCGGACATATATATGTGTATATGTGTCGGCCAATGGATGAGCACTGGCACCCATTGATTGGCAAGGAGAGTGATAGGACACAGCTATGCCTATGTAAACAAGGCAGAGCTGTGTCCTGTCAGTGGCGATTTGCTAGATTTTCTTTCCCTGCAAAGCATGGAATGAAAATCTAGCAGATTGCCTAGTCAAATCACCTCACTGTGTACACAAAACACTGGCTAGGCCCACAGTTAACCCTGTGATTGCCCTAGATGTTTAACCCCTTCCCATCCAGTGCCATTAATACAGTTTTTTAATTGGATATGTTTTCTAGCAGAAATTGAAAAATATTGTTTGGTTGTTTTTTTTTTTTTTGTTTTTTTTTTTTTTTTTTGTAATTGTCCTTTTTTGTTTATAGCGCAAAAAATAAAAAATGCAGTAGTGATCAAATACCACCATAAGAAATCTCTTTGTGTGAAAAAAATTACATAAGTTTTATTTGGGTACAGCAATACCTGACCGCGCAATTGTCAGCTAACGTAACGCAGTGCTGTATCACAAAAAATGGCCTGGTCATGATGGGGCAGGTAATTCTTCAGGAGGGCAAGTAGTTAACCGTTTTTTTTTCTCACACACGACATAGACATACTTGCAATTACACTCAAAACAGATTCTGGTACTTCTCGCAAATAAGGAGATACCAAACGTGATTTTTTTTTTTTTTTCACAGCCTTTAGGGGCCTAAAATCCAAGAAGCACTTTTGAGCTTTCAAGGAGCATACATTACGCATTCAGTTTTCTGACTACCTATCACTTTTTGAAAGGCCCTGGACAATGAAACTGCCCACAAAATGACCTCATTTTGGAAAGCAAATACCCCATGCATTTTCTATGAGGCATATTGAGTCTTTTGAACATGTCATTTTTTGCCACAAGTTTTTGGAAAATATGAAAAATAATGGTTTACACAGTTGTCAATTTATAAGCTATATTTCTAACACAGCATGGATATACTAAGAAATACACCCCAAAATACATTCTGCTACTCCTCCCGAATATGGCGATACCACAATTGTGAAATGTTTTCACAGCCTAGCCACATACAGACCCAAAATCCAAGGAGCACCTTCAGACATTATGGGGGTATAAATTACACATACAATTTCCTGACTACATATAACACTTTTGAAGGCCCACTGAGCACACCGACAGATGTTGACGGTGCAATGGAACACTGTGACAGATGGTGTTTGTGCACTGATACACTGATGTACACTGTGATAGATGTTGAAGGATCATTAGGAACACTGACAGATGTTGATGTTGAAATATGACACTATTGCAGGTGTTAATAAGGCACTGGTACACTGTGACAGATATTGATGAGGCACTGGTACACTGTGACAGATTTTGATGGGACATTTGTACAGATGTTGTGCACTTGGACATGGTACTTAGTGCACTGGTGTGGGATGGCTGCAATTTTGTGTTTTTGTGTGTAGCTGCACAGTAAAATCATCAGCTACACACAGATCGCTGACAGGCTGCAGGACCCCCCTCTCCCCCTCCTCACTGAGCTCAGAAGGAGAGCTAATACAGAGGCACATGCTTCTGTTTATATTGTGTGATGGCTGTGATTGAACACAGCCATCACATGATCGGGAGGACTAATCAGAGAGTCTATATCCCGATCTGTGATGTGCTCCGAGGGACACAGCCATCACGTAATTGTGCCGCTGCATGGCCCCAGATTCTGATGGGATGTAAAGGTATGTCCTGTCAGAATGATGCTTGTGCCACATGGCTGTATATGTATAGTGGCTGGGTGGAAAGCGGTTAAACCACATAATAGTACCTGGCTTATATAATTTGTTCATTTTCTATACCGTTTCTTGCCACCTATATTTAGCACACAAAACAAAAAACATTAAGGAGCTCCTCTGTCTACTTTTCTGCTCTGTAAATGTATATAGTATAGAATGTAGGTCCTTTGTATACTGTAAAAGTGTTACTGCCCACATTATAGCATATTTGCATGCTTGTTTTCAAGCGTATCTATGCTCCAAACCTTTTTTTTTTTTTTTTTTCCCCAATTTTGCATACAGTTGGGAAGGATTAGAATTCCTGTCAGGTTTTACCGCAGTTTGTAGCTCCCTTCACATGCTATCTAGCAAAAAGGTTGTCTCCAGGACAGGAAGTGGGGGGAAATCTTTCACAGCAACACAGACACAAATGCAGATGCTTTCTTGGTGCCTACATTGCAGCATACACATGGCTGGTTGCTCAGCCTTCAAGCCCCCAAGACCAAACTTTAATGGTCCATGGAGCATATCTTCTTTGTTATATATGGAACTTTCTACTCTGCGATATATAGGCATAGTGTGCTGTGCATTATCGGTGACTGCATACTGTGCTTTTATCTAGGATTATCCGCTTATTCTGGGTACTGATAGGAGATTCTTTCAAGTTTATTATATAGTTACAGCCATCCTTTTGCATCTGAAGTCTTCTGGAAATGCGGATATAAGCCAGCCATGTTTTTCAATCATTTAATTAAGAGTACCTTTGGTGATATACATCAGGACACTCACCAATTCCAGGATTTATTTACACCATATGTGTCTTGTTTGAATGGAAAATGCCTGTTTACGCCAATAAGTTAATGATACATTCATATTCCCCTTTAACAACATGGGTATTATAGGCATTTGGTACTAGTATTATTTCTCTCTCCTCTACAGCCCATGCACCGTTAAATTATTTCTCTGGGGTTGTCACTGGATCCTACCCTAAACCCAGAATTATCCAGGGGACTATATTTTTTGGGTTATAGGAGCAGTTGTACATTATGTACTGTACATAAGATGTGTTGTTACAGAGGAGTATGATGGTATGAACAAAAATATGCAGAATTCCAGATTTTAGCCAAAAAGCGTTCTAATTGTAGCGAAAGGTGGTTCTACAAAGTATTGACTCAGGTGTCGCTGAGTGAAAAATGCCCGCCACACTTTTCAGATATTTATTTGTAAAAAATTTGAAACCCATTTATGATTTTCCTTCCACTTCACAATTCTGTGCCACTTTGTGTTGGTCGATTCATATAAAATCCCAATAAAATACATTTACGTTTTTGGTTGTAACATGACAAAATGTGGAAAAATTTCAAGGAGTATGAATACTTTTTCAAGGCACTTTATATTACCATGTTGTTTTATTCATGTTTGTCCATATAAAATAATGTTTATGGGGACACAGCACGTTAGAATTTACATAATTTGTTATTACATTTGACAATTGGTCAGTTGTAGTCTGTTAAAGAGGTATTTGCTGTAGAGGTGTGCTGTAGAAGTTGGATGCATGATGGACATAATTGTAGATGACCAAGGGGAAGAAAAAAATGGAAAGCTGGAAAGAAAAATTGATGCATTTTCAGCAGTTAATACCTGTTACTAGGGATGCACCAAAACTTCGGTGGCCAAAAACACCCCTTTCGGCCATGGGCCAAAATGAAAAAACAAAAAGCACCGATACAGGTGCCGAAAAAAAAACCTCGCCGCCACCCGCCTGCCCGCCGTCGCTGCTCGGTAGTTCTCAGCCTTACCTGAGAAACCATCGATCCCAGTGCTGGGCATAGAGATTAGTAGAGATTAGTGAAGGAAAGATGGCCGCCACTCATCTCTATGGCCTTGTGGAACCGGAGCAATGTCCCTTCCAATTCCGGCCTTTTTTTTTTTTTCTTTTATTCTTTGATCCAAAGCTTTACATTGTAGAGGAGAGATGTGAGGTCTTATTGACCCCATATCTCTCCATAAAGAGGACCTGTCACTAATTATTTCTATCACAAGGGATGCATGCATTTCTTGTGATAAGAATAAAAGTGATTAAAAAATTTTTTTAAAGGGACAGTGCAAAAAAAAAAAAAAGTTTAAAGTGCCCCCCCCCACCCCCCCCGTGCTCGCACATAGTGGTGAACGCATATGTAGGCCATGCCCACATACTGTATGCAAACGGTGTTCAAACCACACGTGAGGTATCGCCACGAATGTTAGAGGAAGAGTAATAATTATAGCACTAGACCTCCTCTGTATCTTTACACTGCTAACCTGTAGAAATGGAGATTTTTAAGTACCGCAGTTTCGCGCCATTCCACGAGCGTGCGCAATTTTTAGCGTGACATGTTGGGTATGTATTTACTTGCCATAACATCCTCTTTCATATTTTACAAAAAAATTGGGGTATATATTGTTGAGTTGTGTGTATTGTGTTTTTTTTTTTTTTTTTTTTTTTTTTTTTTTTTTTCCAAAAAAATATATATGCCTTTTTAAAAACTGCACATTTCGGTTTTGGTTTTTGGCCAAGTGCATTTTGAATTTACGCACCAGAATTTTTAGTTCGATGCACCACTACCTGTTACTGGTAGACCTGAGATGACCGAGCACTAATCTGACAAAAACAGTTGCTCAGCCTGGTTAGAAAACCTATACTGGTTCCTAATGCTCTCCTTATAAGTTGGTATTCGTAGCATCCTCTGTGCTTCCTTCTGCTCCTCCTGCTACACCTCCAGAGAACAGAATTGACAAGTTAGAGGAGTGCTTTACATCAGTGGACCTTTGACCCCAAGGCTGGCCATAGACGGATTGTGTTTTTTGTTGAGCGAGAAGGCTAAACAAAAAAAAGAAAAAATGATTCCTCCATCCACACAATCTAGGTATCTGCTGTGAGGCTTTCCAGAAATATTATGATGATGCAGTAAAAATAATAATGGTGTGGTTTTTTTTTTTTTTTTGGTTTTTTTTTTCATGAAGTGCAATGATTTCTTTTGGCTCATTTTCGGTTTGTTAAATATAACATTTTAAAGCATTTTGTTTTATCTGTTTGTGAAAACGTACCTGTTAATCATGCCAGAAATCTCAAAACTGTTAAATTCCAGTGCTCTCCATTTGCTGGGCTATCATTAGTTACGTTGTTTCCAGCTATCTCTCTGTAAACTACAAAACACCTTCTTCCTGTACCTGTTAATCATGCCAGAAATCTCAAAACTGTTAAATTCCAGTGCTCTCTCCATTTGCTGGGCTATCATTAGTTACGTTGTTTCCAGCTATCTCTCTGTAAACTACAAAACACCTTCTTCCTGTTTTTTGGGAAAGAGATGGTGAGAAGGGTTTTTGTAGTCTTGTCTTAGGGTGCCCACGCTGCTTCTCCGTAGATACAGTACAGGGAGTGAGTACTGTCACCCTAGGACAGGATGTGTGTTGCCAGAATCCCTAATTCAAAAAAAAGTAAGTTCTTTTTGTCTTTTTCTTTTTTTTTTTTTTCTTTTTAACAGTATGCTAAAACCAGTGGAAAACTGACACATGCCTCCTCCTTGGGTTACAATGGGGCAGTCCTGCAGGCACTGGCAGTGCATTATGCTCTGCAGGGTGAGCAGAGTCGGGATTCCTTCATCACCAGGCTCCTGGATCATATGGGCGAAATTGAAGCCGATGACAAATCTAGAAGTGATGCAGTGGAGTAAGTAAACCTCTAGACGCTAGGTTCATGTTTGTGTAATTTTAGTAATATATTAAAGAACTTTGGGAATAGGAAAAAAAAAATGATACTCCCCTAGATGGCTGCAGCTTCAATTCCAGCTGCAGCTGTCCCTCGCTGACTCTACCCCAAGAACTAAATGATCGCTTGGTTCCAAGTTTTTAATGAGCAGAGAACTGATGACTGTCAGTCAATGGCACTCTGCTCTGCCCCTGCAGTGGTCACTGGAGCGCCAGGCTGTGGATGGGGCAGGAGCGGCTGGCTCAGGCTCTCAGTGGCTCACTGAGAGGCTGAGCAAGCTGTTTTTCCTGGCATCTGGGTAGCTCCTGACTGTAAAGTCTGGATCTTTTTAGGGCCTGGGCTGCTGATTGATTTCAGCCAACCGCAGACTGAAAGCTGAACACGGGTCACAGGAGTACAAAATGAAGTCCATAGGAGAAGTAAAACCAAAATAGCTTTGTCTATACTTCTTTTAACTTACCCATTCTGTCAGAGGCTTACTTTTATGTTATGACAAAACCATATTTTCTGGGGGACCTTTACAGCATGTACTTGCAAGACAAGCTTCTGAGAATTCTGGAAGATATGAATTGTTTGTTTTGGGTGAAGACAGATCTGGGAAGCTTTGTGCTAGATGTACTTAGCATTCATATCAAACAAAGAATCCTTTAGATATTAATACTTTTAGTTTTGGGGATATTCTGTGTGGAATCCAGAACTTTCAATAGATGCCCTTTTTTGCAGATTTTGTTGAATGGAACATACTGTTTTGTAAATAATTCCTATATTTAGTACTATGGAATGTGTTAAAATACTTGTTTTCTTGGGAGAAATGTAAATGATCTAGCCCTGGTTCACACTATGAATCACACAGGAACTTGCTGTGTTACTGTTCAATTCACATACAATTCAGTGTGGCTCATTTTGAGCCCATTCATTTTGAATGGGCTCAAATCGCAGTGCAAGAGTAGCAGATGCATTGCTTCTCGAAATGCACTGTAACTGGATCGCATGGTACTTTTTGTACCATGTGATCTGTTGCAGGCAAATACATTATTTGTGACCTGCATTTGGGGCGTTTTTAACATTGACACCCTCTGCAGATTGCAACTTCAGTGCATTTTGAATGCTGTGCAGAAAACGCACACTGATCACGGCTTTCCTGCGCTGGGTTGTAGTGTGAACCTAGCCTTAAAAATTGTTTTACATTGCTCGTTTGATAAATGTTTTATCTTTTCAGATTGGAACTGGGTGAGTTTCCATACTGCAAGAGACTAAAGAAGATTAAAGAATTCTTGGATGAAGGAGGTGTGCCACGGAAGGATGTGGTGGATCAGCTGGGTAAGTTGTATAGGTTAATATACTGGAAACAATACTGCAAAAATCTGCTCATATCTATAATGTAGGTTAGAGTAATTTTCTGCTGCAGTACAAATTTTCTTGACAAATTTGGAGTCTCCTCCCTGATCCCGAGTTGCCTCCATTGTGGAATCCCCAACTTTTCTTTGTGATGTTACAATATGCAACTATCCAGTGAGCGTACTCAATATGAAGGTAATGGCGCTGTTTTGTGAAATGAAAGGGAAGGCAAAGTTTGGGCTTCTGTTAGTGTTATTATAAGGATGGGAATATTCTATAAATACAGACCTTATCTGTTAGCATTTTCAAGGAGATTTCTTTTTTGTAATCTTCACTTGTATGAAGCAATTTACTTTGTTCTGTTTAGTCCTCTCACATTGCAGTGTTGGAATAGTTCCTAGTTCCATTCAAAAGAGACAAGAGGAGGGTTTTGCATAATTAAAGTTTTCAATAAAAAAAAAAAAAAGGTCTTAAGTAGTTGTGAGACCCTGACTAGTGTTTGTCATGTTTTAGCACACTATACATTGTTAACACAGCATTTGAATTTGGTATTGCAAAATAAAGTTATACATTTGTGTTAACTGTGTGTATATACAGTGGATCTATGGATTATTGAATGGATGGATATATTGTCTTTAGTTCCCATCCTGTTGATCCTTATGACACTACTGTTTCTGGTTCCTCTGGAGTACATTATATTTCATTGGAAGATCCACCTAAGGCCAGTATTAGCGTCACTGAATTTCTAGTGCATTCTCCATCCCTGTATACTGAGGATGATCTCCATGGTGCAAAAGGATCCAATCACAGCAGTGCCCTGTGTGTCATCCCTCCCATGAACACAAAAACTGAAGGTCTGCCCCTTTGTTGGGCTGTACTGGAAACTTTAACAGTTAAAAAAAAAAAAATTACATTTTTTTGCTCTACTGAAGGGCGTTCACTGTGTAAAGTCAAGTTAAAAACGCAACTTTTTAAGTTCAGACAAAGTTTTTCAGCTTTATTTTTTTTTTAGAGTTTTTTTTTTTTTTTTTTTTTTGAGTTTTTGCAGTAGCATTTAACTGCGTTTTTTTAGCGTTTATTTACCCAAAAAGAATTTTGCTCAAACCGGCCAAAAATGCCGGTTTGCCATATTTTACAGCGTTAGAGCGTTTTTATTTTACAGCTAAAAAAACTCCTCTAGAAACTCACTAGTTCTGGGGGGGGGGGGGGTTTCCACCCAAAAAACACTGATTTACAGCCTGTGTGCATGGACACATAGGATAACATGCTGGGGAGTTTACTGGCTGTAGAAAAAAATGCCAAAGGCCAAAAACAGCACCTGTAAAAACTTCCAGCGTGCATGATGTCTAATTGTTTAACTATAGCTGCATTCATGATTCTCATTTAGTGGTTGCTGAAAATTTAACTGTTTCTTGTTGTATCCTCAAGGTAATGGAATTGCTGCTTTGGAATCCGTTCCCACCGCTATATACTCATTCTTGCGCTGCATGGATCCAGTGGAAGACCTTCCTATGGAATTCAATAGCTTACAACGCACTCTTGGTTACTGTTTCTTGCTAGGAGGAGACACTGACACAATAGCTACCATGGCTGGAGCCATTGCTGGTGCTTATCATGGAGAATTACAAGTTCCACATGAGTGGAAACTCAAGTCTGAAGGTTACAAAGACGCAGAAAATTGGGCTGAAGAATTGCATCAGCTGTACACCTCTCGCCTTACTTCCTGAAATTATTATGAAATTCCCCCCAGAATTTGTTGCACTGCATTGAATTTGATACAAAGCTGAATAAAAGACTTTCCTGATATTACATTTGTTTGGTTTGGTAAAAGTACGTTTTAACACCTGCTGTGCGGTTTTAATGAATAAAAAATATATATATGTTTATTTAGTAATAAGTTATGACTTAATCAATCTCTGACAGCTGAATGTGCACGTTTCACAGCATGGACTAGGCTTGGCCTGCCAGAGCATTTGCGCAATTTATGGTATTTAATAATAATGACTTTAATAAACAATGAGAGGGTTTTTTTTTTTTTTTTTTTTTTTTGAGAGGTTTACAAAAAACTTTTTTATAATAATGACTTTATTAAACAATGAGAGGGTTTTTTTTTGAGAGGTTTAAAAGTGTGTGTGTGTGTGTGTGTGTGTGTGTGTGTGTGTGTGTATATATAGTAGTGTGTTTTTATATAAGATGTGTTTTTTTTTTTTTTTTTTTTTTTTTTTTTCTTTATACTGCAGAATTATTGAAGTGTTTTGACCTTGGTCATAAATGTTAAGTCCTGTTTATTGACTTAGAGCTACTAGCAGCGGCTTTGGCTGCCCTTAAGTAAGCAGCACTCAGTGTGGAGAAGATATATTATTATTATACAGTATTTATATAGCGCCAATAGTTCACTCAGCGCTGTACATTACAATGGGAGACAATACATGCGACAGTACAATAATAATACAATGCGATACACGAGGGGTTTGAGGGCGCTGCTCCTTGGAGCTTACAATCTAAGAGGGAGGGGATAGTGGTACAGGAGGAAATTGCTGTGGGGGATGGAGTGGTAGGAAGAGTGGAGGAGGTCAGCAATTAGCAGGGGGTAGGGTAGGCTTCCCTGAAGAGGTGGGTTTTCAGGGTGCGCCTAAAGGAGAAGAGAGTAGGTGATAGCCTGATGGATTGGGGTAGGGAGTTCCAGAGGATGGGTGACGCTCTGGAGAAGTCCTGGAGGCGGGCATGGGAGGAGGAGACCAGAGAACTAGAGAGAAGGAGGTCTTGTGAGGAGCGGAGAGTGCGTTTTGGGTGGTATATGGATATTAGGTCGGTGATGTAGTTTGGGTCAGTATGATGGACAGCTTTGTACGTCAGTGTTAGGATTTTGAATTTGATCCGTTGGGCAATTGGAAGCCAGTGGAGGGATTGGCAGAGGGGGGTGGTGGAAACGGAGCGGTTGGTGAGGTGGTCTGGCTGCCGTATTCAAGAGCGACTGAAGCGGGGATAGCCTGTGGCGAGGCAGGCCAGTGAGGAGGGAGTTGCAGTAATCAAGTCGTGATATGATGAGGGAGTGGATGAGCTGCTTAGTGGTTTCTGGGGTTAGGAACGTGCGTATTTTGGCGATGTTGCGGAGGTGGAGTCTGCATGAGTTTGTTAGTGATTGGACTTGGGGCTGGGAGGATAGATTGGAGTCAAGAATGACACCAAGTACTCTGGCCTGCGGTGCGGGCCTGATGGTGGCATTGTTGGACGTGATAGAGAAGTCAGTAGGGGGTGGTGTGCGGGCTGGGGGGAAGACTAGGAGCTCGGTTTTGGAGAGGTTCAGTTTAAGGAAGTGGAGCGACATCCAATCTGATATGTCGTTCAGTAGGCTTGTGATTCGGGCAGAGACTGAGGGGGGGTGAGGTGAGGGGTCGAGAGATAGATCTGCGTGTCGTCAGCATAGAGGTGGTAGTTGAAGCCGTGAGAGTGTATGAGTTGGCCAAGGGAGGAGGTGTAGATGGAAAAGAGAAGGGGCCCTAGGACAGAGCCTTGAGGGACCCCAACAGAGAGGGGGAGGAGGGTAGCGTTATAGGTAACGCTGAAGGAGCGTTGTGACAGGTAGGGACAAGAGCCAGGAGAGAGCGGAGTCTCTGAGGCCAAGGGAGTGTAGTTTTTTTGAGGAGGAGGGGGTGGTCAACTGTGTTGGGAGGTCAAGGAGAAGGAGCACTGAATAATGGCCGTTAGCTTTGGCGGTTAGCAGGTCGTTGGAGAGTTTGAGTAAGGCAGTTTCGGTGGAGTGAAGGGGACAGAAGCCGGACTGTAGGGGATCGAGGAGGTTGTCATTGAGGTGGGAGCTTAGGCGATTGTAGACTAAGCGCTCGAGGAGTTTGGATGTGAATGGCAGCAGGGAGATGGGCCTAAGGTTGTTCGGGTCAGAGGGGTCCAGGGAGGGCTTTTTAAGTATGGGAGTGATGTGCACGTGCTTCAGAGGGGAGGGGAATGCGCCGGAAGAGAGGGAGAGATTAAAGATGTGGGTGAGGGAGCGTAGGATGGAGGAGGGAGGTCGTAGCAGTTGTGAGGGGACAGGGTCGAGGGGGCAGGTGGTGAGGCGGGCTTCAGAGAAGACCTTGGTGACCTCAATTTTAGTAGGGTTGAAGGAGTGGAGTGTTGAAGGGGTTTCAGTGTGAGGGATGTTAGGTGGGGTGGAGGTCTGAAAAGTGGTGAGGCCAAGGGAGAGGGGTGATGAGGGGGTTGCTGTGTGAGGGGATGGGTGTGGAGGAAGTTTGAGCAGTGGCGATGTCCCTGCGGATTGTGACAATCTTGTTTTTGAAGTGATTGGCAATCTCGAGGGTGGTGATTGAGGTGGGGGCGGAGAGAGTAGAGAGTTGAAGGTGGAGGAGAGGGTCTTGAGGAGGGTTGATCATGTTTGCAATTTTTGTGTCCACAGCCTCAAAATGAGAGCTTTCTTCCAAGTCATACAAAAGCAGAATCTGGTCCAGCCAAAATAATATTACCTGCCTTACCCCTTGTTCTGCCTTAATGGAAATAGAATGTATGAACAGAACTAGCATTAAATACTTATGATTTGGGAATGGTGTATCTCTGACCACAAAAGGGCTTGCTTCTTAGGTGGCCAGCTATAAAATGTTACAAAATACAGTGCAAAACTGAGGTGTCAATGACTTGCCACTTTCTGAGTGAAGTGGCACAGTGGTGCAATTTTCCCATTTTGTTCCCTTCTGTCTATGATCATAATATTTTATATTTGTAGAGTGCAATACAAGCTTCTCTCCACATTCATTTTCTGACCATTATAGCTACTGAAACCTAGAGATGCCATTGTATGGAACTGTATAAACATTAAAACAGTGCTCTTGCTTGTTACAAGCATAAAACTTTTAGTATTATGCCACCTCAATCCTCTCTTTAAAATATACCCGTTATACACTATTAAATGCTATGCAGTTAATAGGCCTCATTAGACCTTTAAAAAATTCCTGGTCTTGAAATGTTCATTTTTTTTTTTTTTGTCATACCTGGCCTTTTGGACCCCACTGAAAGCATGTCCAAAAACGCTCAGATAGAATTCCCTACATCTTCCTTGTTGCTGAGATGTGAAAACTATTGTAATGCTGGGAGGAGTGAAAAATGACCATTTTTTTTGCATGCTAGAACCAACAAGGCAGGATGTGGGGGTTGCTGTATGGGAGTTTTTATAACAGCCTTACAAAGGGGTCTGAATGGCCATTTTTGGGTGCGTGGGACAGTTAATACAGTACTGAATATGTGCCTGCATCTGCTGGCCCTTGAAAGTTTTTCACACGTATGGTACTGATGTAAAAACAATTGACCACTTCCCACCTGTAGAACATCATATGATGTCCTGGACTTTGAGCGAAAATATCGGGATAACTGTATCATCCCAATATTTTTTTTTTCAGCTGTTTAATGTAAAAGCAATCCTAGTGGCTAAATAGCTGCTTTTACATGTGGAACTTGCCTCCTTTCCAGGCTCTTCCTTCCGACCGGAGAGCCCAGGACTGAAGCTGGCAGTTCTGCCGGCTTACCATAGAGAAGCCTGGAGACCGGCACGTCCAGCTGGAGGCACGGGGGAATTCACCCCTGGTGGCACATTTTCCAGTGGATTTCCGAAAAGCATGGGACTCGGGAGTGTGGTGGCCCAGGAACCTGGAACCAGGTGGAGTCAGTAGATAGGATAGGTGGTGGGGGCAATTGATGTATGTAGGACACCGGGTTCAATAGAAATGCTATAGGAACACACTTTGGAGGAGAGAACCAGAGCCTGGGGTGGAACATCCATCTTTTAAGGGCATACCTACAGCAGTGGTCTGCTTCAGCCATGGATTCAGCAGCTCCTGCAGCACAGGAAGACTATAAGGTACATTGGAGTATGAGTGGGGTTGTGTTGTTTTTTTTTCTACCTATGTTTACTGTGCCTAGTTATGGTGTGGTCTTTGGCCACTTTTATGTTTCTTACTGTTGCAGTAAGTGTTTTGCGGGATTTTTTCTACGCACATTTAGAATTTTGCATCTGGCTCATTGCAGTAATGTATCCCATTCCAAAAGCGATGAGCTTCTTGCAGTGTGAAGCTTTTGGTTTCTTGGTCCTGTATAGGGATAACTATGATCCTTATTGAATCATATATATAGAATGTTATAAGATAGCTACTTATACTCTATTTTGTATCATCAGAAATGTTTTTATAACTTCATATATTTCAAGCTGCTCACAGCAAAACATATCTTGATTAGAATTGTGCCATTAGGCGTGTGTGATGTGTTAGAAACAGATCACCTCAGAAGGACCAAGACGGACACTACACCCCTCCTATATGATAAGAAGGGCTATATAAGCAGAGAAGGACTCTAAAAGATGGAATGCAGGGAGGGCGGACACTGTATTCCCCATATGCAACAATAAATATAATTCGGAACCTCATCTCGCCTGAAGATAATTATTCAAATCTCCTTTAAAATACCGTACAGGAACTTGACAGGAGGTACTATGCTCCCTACACAGTCCAAAGATATATAAACTAATGATCTAAGATTTCTAGTTACACCTGTGTCAAAAGATCTTGCTAAGGCAGTAGGAATGTCTTCCTCCTTTGAAGAGCTTTTAGCTCAGAAAGTGTTTCGATATGTCCCCTCTGTAGAGGGGGACATAACTTTTTGAGAATAAGCCCATTGGAAAGTTCTGGACAATCCTAAACTTGAAGCCACTAGAAGTGGTGAAGTACAA